TAGTTAAAATACACATTTTAGTCTTGTCTCTGTTACCCTGACACACATTATCAACAATAAGTAGCATCATACGAGTCTTCTGAAGACCAAGAATGAAAATCTCAACACGCACTCTCGTTACTTAAATTATTCCTCAGATGTTATTATGTTTCTTACTTTTTAGGAAGGTTTTGGGAAGAGTTTTCATACTATTAGCACTAAAACCATGGCTACATTTAATATACTTTCTAAAAAAAAAGATGCTAAACATTCAGTCCGGCTACAAAAACATGCAAATCTCGCATTAACTGGCCTGAGATTGACATTAATTAAACTAAACATTGTGTAATTAGACACAGAGCTGTCACAACATGCACATGGCACCGATTTAAAAGGATCGTTCACTCTGGAAGCGGCTTATCTTGACTGAACAAAACACCTTTGAGGTGACTCCGCCATTACGTCAGCTGGGGGGGGGGGGGCAGCCGATCAGCTGTCAAATCCACACGCACAGGAGCACGCGCTGTGTGGTGGAGTTCATTGGGAAGAAGAGGAGGAAGAGGAGGAGGAGGAAGAGTCAATAAGCAAATGTCCAGTTTCCAGAGAGAAAATGACGCTGCTAAAGCTCTGTTCAGGAGGCTGGAGGTTGTTTCTCTGTGATGCAGTAGCTGATAGACTGTCAGTAGTCAGTGAGTTTACCCCCCCTGTGTTTATCCCCCCCCCATGTGCTGTGGCTGAGAGGATTCAGGTGGACTTGCCCCCCCTCCCTTAGTGTGAATAAGACTGTAGTGCCTCCATTAGTTTGCACAACCTTGTGCTTGGTGCAGCGGGACTTCATGTCACAGTGTAATAGCTGACAGATGTATTATTCTGTAACTGAGCCAGGTGCTGCTGAACCCAGATCAGGGAGCAAGCCAAGCAATTACAAATTGATTTTTTTTGATGTTGCAGTGAACTCATTAATGAAATGAACACTGTTAAAAGAAGAATCGTTGTTTGCTGCACTGTGTCTCCTGTGTGTTGCTGCAGGAGAGCACAGCCCTTTGCACTGATGGATAAGCTCCTACCTGATCCAGTTAAAGTGTTAACGGGAGAGATTAAGGACGTGGGCTCTTCAGAGGAGGCCGCCCTTCCTTTTGCGGTGCAACAGCTACAGATCAGAGGCCTCTCAAACATGCCACAACTCTCTTCAAGAGAACATAACACTCATACAGGCAGGAACGCGTTAATGCAAGTGCTAAACAACACGGTTTATGTATGATAGTGCAGGCAGGCATTGGGAATATATGTGCGTTATAAAGTTAAAATGGTTCAAAAAGGTCCTAAAGGATGTTCTTCTTGTCCAATAAAATCCTTTAATATTCGTATAAATCCCTAAAATAAGATTTTTCCTCCTTTATAAGGAATAAATGTTTGTTTCTTCAGTTTTTTATTAAATTAAATTCAGAATATTGCAGAAGTTTATGCATACAACAGATTATATTCCAGTAACAACAATGAAATCCTGAAATGTGAAATAAATGTGTTCCTGCGCTCTGGATGTTGTGTTTGCTGGCCCTGTGTAGTAACCCACACCCCACCCCTTCGCACTCAAAGATTACACATTTATTTCTCCTGCCAGTCCGCAGTTACTCCCATCGTGTCCGGGGAGTACAGTCACCACCGGGACAGAGCGGCGATGGCATCCCGGGTTTCCTTCACCCAGATCCGGCTGGAAGCGGAGCTGGAGCGCTACCGGGCCGAGTGCCAGTGGGACAAGATGCCGGCGATCATCGACCAGATGCACGCTGCGCGGTTCCACGAGGACGGTGAGTGGTCCGCTCACACACACACACACACACACACACACACACACACCTGGAGGAGCTGAAGATGAGCTCTATCTTTCTGCACAGCCAGAAATACTTTGTTCCATATTCAGGTTAAATCTGGAAACAGTGAGCTGTTGTTTTTTTTTTGCCTTCTGCTAAAAGTATTTTAGGGAAGTTTCAAGAAGTTGTTGTCAGAGCGAAAATGCTTTAATATAAGTTGATTTGCAGTTGGAACTATTTAGATTTACTGTATTCATTTGTAGATTTTGATTGTTGAAGAATGATTTCAGGACTCTGAGAAAAGTGTTGGTCGAGGATGTTTGTAGTCTGGGTTGAACTGTAAACAGGTTGGACTTTGGACTCAACAAGATAGAGTGTAGTTAAAGCTGCAGTAGGTAACTTTTATTAAAGTTTATTTTTTTGTGTCATATTTGCTGAAACTCCTGATCCTGATAGTAGAACATAAAAAACCTGCCTCCTTTGGGTCCATAGCTCCTAATGGCACATAATCCACTGCACCTGAACGACAACCAATCAGAGCCGAGGAAGATACTCATTCCCAAAGTGTTAAATACCAGAACCATCTTTATTCCTCTATTCTTGCCTCTATTTGGTTGCTTTGGTGGATTCTTGCAGACGCCATCAGGAGCACCAGGAGGAGCCGGAGGAACCAGATTATCTGTCTCATGAACTTCTGTCAGGATATAGAGATATAAAAGTTACCTACTGCAGCTTTAAAGGTTTCTTCTGCAGATTCTATTCCCCAAAGCTGACTTTCCCAGTGGGTCAGACCAGGGTTCAGAGAGAGGTTGCCGGATGGCTCCAACAACAACACGTCACTCCCTGGAAGTTTACAGTACACACAATGAAAGAGAGCATGATCAAAGGTATCGCCTGGCCTCTGCATTGTTAACCCCTCTCATACAGGAGAGCCAACCTAATGCATCAAGACCTTCCAGTGGAATAACCTTTAAAAATCCTTCCACACAGTGAATGCTGGAAGAAATGCAAACACACTTATCATTGTTTGCCTCATAAAGCACCTTTGGTAAGTCGCTAATGCACCTGCGTCCCCCCTCTCTCACCTTAGCAGAGTAAATATGGGTTCAGGTGACTCGACTGCTCGTTTGCTGTTATTGTGGCCCATAAGTGGCTGATAGTGCAGGCCAGCGGTTTCTCCCCGCCTGCACTATGCACTGGAGTGTTAAATCAATGTGGTATTACTGCGTGCATGCCTGGTTCACATTAGCTGATCTGACATTAAGTGCGCATGGAAGGCATGGTGCACCAGGAGAGGCAGAGTTAGAGACAGAGGAGCTTCATAAAGTAATAAGGAATTAAACATAGTGGTAAAATCCACCCTGCTGTAAAACTGTAAAGATCATTTAAAGATGTGGTGGCAAAATGCACCAGTTCACTGCAGTAACTATTTAGGACACTGAGGTCGTACGTGTGAGTCTTCTGTATTTTTTATGGGATTTGGGTTTTTTTTTTGCAATGCTGAGGGAATTTTATTCTACAGTTAAAACCCTTTGTGGCTATTTTATAAGCTGATTGCACTATTCTCAGACTCAGTATATTTAAAGGCACCCTGTGGAGTTTTCTTGTAAACAAAAATATAAGTTTAAATTCAGTGTTTCTTTTCAAAAATATATTTCCTTACGGTAATTTCCTTCCTCATAAAACATTTGCAAAGCTGATTTTCTTTTATTTTAAAGCTCCAATATTTACAGCCATGTTCGCTACCTAGCAGTCTTCTTTGTGCGTTGACTGCAGATCCACCACCTTTAAAGGTCAAGTGTGTAACATTTAGGACAATATGAAACATTTAAGTTTTTCAGAGTTTTTCAGGACGAGGTTGAAAACAGGAAAACTGCATATTCATAGATTCTGGAGTTTTAATTGAGGTAGAAGGAGTAGATTTTAATGTTTAACTTTTTCTGCAGAAACATATCAGACACACATTATTGTTCCAGGCAGACTATTTGTGTGTACGTTGTAATACATGAGGGGAGCTTTAACGTTTTTCTAACCACAAAGCTGTTGCTCAAACACACAAACACACACCTTCAGTGAGACTGATATCAACAAGTTCCTGCCTTTCCTCTGCGGAGTTCAAATATAATTCATGAAAATGAGGAAATTACTAACTGAAGAGGAGGAAGACAAAAGGAGATTAAGTTACAATAATGCACCACAGATTGTTTCTGTCTGTCCAACAACACTCTTTTACCTCCTGGCTACTTTATTGCAGCACTGACTGTTTCCAAAGTCTCGGCCATGGCTTTGTGTGAACTCTTTAAACAGCTGTTTGCTACAGTTATGGAGTCCTGCTGTTTATCCCTCACCTTCCCCTTGCTGATAGGTGTAGCCTTGGCCGTGCTGATAAAACTCACTGGCAAAAATGTCAAGTATATCGGGACATAAACACTGCTCACAGAGTTGGCGTCAGAACACACACAAACAGAAAGAAAAAGCTAAACAGGAAGGCTTTAATCGAGCATGTGTGTGTACACAAAAATTGAGGTTTACTACAGGACACTAAAGGCCCCGTCAGAGCGGAGCTGGTTTACCAAAACTATATCAAAACAGTATCTTGATTCCGTGGAGGTGGACGTGCAGAGCTTATCATATGATTACAATGTTAAAGCTATTTAAGGAAATGAGGGAAGTGGAAACTGTAGCTTCTAAATAGACTTCAGGACTTTGGCATATTTGAACTCCTCTCCCTGAGTCGGTGGGAAATGCTGTTTTTAATGGATTGAGGGAGGTTTGCTTTGGCTACAGAAACAAATGACCTGTGACCCTGAGCTCAGACCTACTCCAACAAACTTGTTTTTTTACTTTTTCAATCATCTTTGTAGATGACTACGGGCCGCTGCTGATGGCCGAGGTGCTGCTGGAGGAGTGCCTGCAGGAAAACATGGACCTGTTACGGAGCTCCACGCCTTTGACGGACAAGACCCAGGCCAAACTGTGCCGGGCCAAAAGCCACCTCAACACTATCCTCAGCCGAGGCCGTCTCACAGTGGGTTCATCCTATAGTATCTCTCTAAAGCTTGAAACCATTATGGCACCGAACACAGGAACCACTTGTGTCCTCTCGTCCTCCAGCCCAGGTACCTGAACGAGGCTCTGCTGCTGATGGCCAAGGTGCACTATGTGCAGGGTCGCTACCGGGACGCCCAGGGAATGTGTGCCAGGGTGGGACTGGAGGAGCTGACCAAGGATTTCCAGCCGACCTACCACCTCCGCCTCCTGGCTGAGGCGTTTGTCATTAAAGGTACCTGACACCTCTGGAAGTATTAAAGCAGAAATTCCAGGTTTGGAACAACTTGGGTCTTTTTCCATCGTTACAGTTGGGAATAAAAACATTGTTCTCACGACATTCATGGCTGAGGTCTGCAAAAATGGGCAAATTTAGGGGCAGGTCGAGAGAAATGTGGTGGCCAGAGGAGAGGTGGCAGAAATAAATAATACATGATACAATCACATATATGAATATTTGCTCATAAAACCGGCAAATGAAGGCTAAAAAACATGACTGCGTCACATTACTAAAACCTTAAATAGAAATATCTAAAAGGTGGCATTAGAAATCAATAAATTGTTTTATCTCCAAACCTTTAGACATTTTTCCAAATACAGATCATTAAATTATATATGTTTTACCACAGTCTGGGTGAATACCCAGTTCTGATTGCCTGCAGCCTGTCCATTAATTCCTGACGTAGGACACCTCCTAAATAGTTCATCATTCTAAATGAATGCGCTGAAATAAATTAAATAAAAACAAAATCTGTATATCTCATTAATATATCACAACAGTGAGTGTCGTCCTTCAGTTGGTCATCCTCTGAACACCACAGGATGGCGACTGTAACATACAAGCCCCTACAGAGCCCCTCTGAACTCACTGACCATCCCACATCCCGTCCTGTATCCAGCTGCAGCCATCCATACACCTCCCCTAATGACATAGCTGATAGATAGCGGTTGTTATACATACTGTCAGATTATATTTACATATAGCACACAGCACATTTGATATAAATGTAGTTTTCAATTGGATTTGGCCAAAGAACATTCAACAAAACACAAGACTCATAGGTTCATAGTTCAGATGGCCATAAACATGACTCCAAATGAATGATAATGTCCATATCTGCTCAATGTGTAAATAAACAACTATTTGCTAACAAGTCAGCCATACTGAGAGATAATATGTGTTTACAGCGTTCACTGCACCCAAAAACCTCAGTTAACGCAGGTTTAACAAATTATTTCAGCTATTTAACGGATGAGCTGCCACTGACATTTACAGGATATAAAAGGGGTGTTTTCTTCCAGCAGAAATGGAGCTCAAAAGGGTTTAGAAGTAATTCAAAAGTGAATCACAAAGTAGCAGACTAACAAACACACCCATGCACTAATGCAGGAGAAGGAGAGGAGGCAAAGAGACAAGAAGCAACAGGTTTGAGACATTGAGAAATACTGAGCAGAAATGCGATCGATCAACAATGCAAATGTTGTTAGTCCTGATTTTGGTGAGAAACACTGACAATTGTCCAACGTGTAACAAAACTATTCAGTCAAATATCATAGTGGGCTTCATTAACCTACAGTATGTTAGCTGCATACTTACAGCAGATCTCTTACCTGCCGGCCTTACATAAGGCCAAGGCAGCGCAGAGGACTGGCACGTTTCCCTGAAAAACACTACAAGCAAGATTGAACAGCTCTCTGCATACGTTTCCTCGATGATAACATTCCTAATCCTGTTGCTAGGAGTTATTACAGCCCTAAAATCACAGTGACCTTGTACGGGGTTTTGAATGTGGAGGGGAAAAAGGAGGCGGGCGGGCCGATGAAATCCAATCTGTGGAAATTAATGAAACACGGCTGGAAAACATCAGCTTAAAAAGACGGATAGTTATGTCAGTAACCTTGTGGTGTGTTTGTTTGAGTCTCTTAACCTCAGCTTGTGGATAACACTGATGATGTGAAAGGGGAAATATGAAAATCTGGTCCTTTAGGCCGCGTTTACGCCTGCCATTAACGTGCATCTTGGGTGATCCGATCACAAGTGGACAGCTTTCAGTACGTCAGTCCTCCGCATGAATCTCGAGTGACCACTTGTGATTGGATCTCATTCCCCGCACTGTATGCATATAAACACATTTCCGTTTGAGAAGACCACATGATGAATTTACTGTTTATCAAACAACAAATGAGACCACAATTAGGTTGGAAACACACAGTGGAGTTTCTAATGCTGGGCCTCACTGAAAAACACAACTTTATAATAACTCAATAATAACTTTATTCACTGATTATATGGAGAAAATGTTTTGTTGTTTTTCCTCTAAGGTCCTCTGGTTGCCTCAACTCTCATTTTGAAGCCTTGATGTCGGTGTTATGGTCGTTCCAATAAAAAAAAACAATAAAATATGTTTATGAACAGATCTTAGGAGAGAAATAGTCAACACAGTCACAGAATCTGGATCTTTATTTCCTTTACATTCACGTGGAGAGTAGAGGACTTTTAAATCGGTGCATAAAATAAAAAACACCCATGTGATTGTGATTCATGTCCTTGTGCCAATGTGTCCCTTATATTTCCACTCTAATTCAGACCTGGGCCATCCACTTGCAGCGGCCTGAGCTTCACAAACACAACATTTGTGTTTTCTCTCCTGAGAGACACCTCAACGTCGGAAATGTGATTCTTCAGAGTAAAGAAACAACTTAAAGCCCTTCAGGGAACAGATTTTACTGCAACTGGCAGATTTCTGCACAGATGCTGTTTTAAAAATGGTTGTGAGTCATATGTCGGGGATGTGCCGTTACTCACAGTCACACAGTTGAGGCACAGTTTTGTTGTGGCAGATTATTTTTAGGTATGTTTTCCAGTCAGATACAATCATTTCTATTCTATTTTGATTACTGAATACCAGCTTTATTAAAGATCAAAGGTCACATCCACAGATCATTACCCTCTCTTTTGTCCTTAGAGCTCTGGATAATCTTGTTAGACTCATCATCATCATCATCATCAGGTCATTACTGTTTCCTGATGATCGGATATGACCTTATGCTCATGACACTGAGAGAATTTTATTATAGATTTTGATTTCCTTTGATTGTTTGGGAAATTATATTTACAGCGGACTGTTATGACTGACTCTACACGAGAAAACAGATCGACTCCCTTGAGGGTTGCAAAGCTCCTTCCCATGCTCTTTTTTTGTGTGCATATATTGCACATTGGTGTGGGAATGGACTCAGATGTGAATATTTGGATGCTGATGTCTCGTCCATTGGCAGCTGTCTGCTTATTTGATTAGGCCTGGCGTCTGGCCTGAGGCTGCTGTCCATCACAGGCCTCCTGCGGTCTAGAAATGTTCCTGCTTGCTACGTTTATTTGTACCAATAACGGACGTCAGACCTGGCATCTGGACCAGGACTGCCCTGCTCACTTCTTCCTCTCTGTTCATAAACTGTAAAAAAAAAAAAAAAAAAAAAAAACTCAAAATTCTAATACAATACATGGAAATACATGGAAATAAATGAAAATTACAAGTACCTGTGAATATACATGTTTATTGTAAAATAACGTGAAAAATCAGGAAGATAATCATACAATTACTGCTTTTTTTGGCAACTCTATAACTTTTGTTTTTTTATTTAAATAGATGCAACGTTAACCAATCTCAGTTTAATCTGTTAATAGATTCAGAATATCCTGTACTACATTAAGTTTTCACAATCAAACATGCTGAATAAATGTTTTTTATCAGTTTAGATAAGCATTTAGCAGAACTGTCACAATACAGTTTTTGTGACTGAAAATAGCAATAGTATCTAAAGCTCACAGATGTGACCTTTTATGACTTTTACATTCTATACCTCAAGATTAAAATAAAAAAATCAGAATATATAACAGC